GTGAATCGTACCTATTGAATTTGTAGCCAGTTAATCAACTTTTCGTCTGTATTTAGTTTATTTCTTCGTACCGATTTTTCCAACTGTAATGTACCTTTAAATTCTTGTTTCATTACGTGAACGTTAAACTTATTTTTTCTCCTATCATTACGGAAGGTTTCATATCAGTCATGTGGAGTATAATGTAATTGATTTTTCAAGGCTGATTCAATGTTTGCAAAGTCAGAATCGTTTATCATAAATGAGTGACCGAATACTAGAAATTTGTGATATCACTTCAGTGGTGTTATAAGAATCCATTACCATTTTAAAACAAGTTAATGCAACTTTAAAAATTATGGTTTTGTCCCCTGCAAACATCGCTAAACGCTATTATGTATTTTTTACCGCCTGCCTCACATTTCAAATGTTTTTCAAGCAGCACGCAATTTCCTAGGATTCTCTGGTGGCCGTAGTTTCGTCCCATACCTACATCCACGCTTTATGGATATGCAAGTCATGTACACCTAAATTGTAGCAATATAAAGTTAAAGGGAAAGTTATAAATCTGAGGAAAGTTAAAGCTTTCTGTAAGTCAAACGAAATTACATGATAACTATTATCAGACTGAGCCAAACAGGCATAGACTTTCATTGCAGCCTTGGCCTTTTCAGCTTTCCTTAGATATAGTTCAAGATTAAACCGTCAAGGTTGTTTTATCAGATTAGTCAGCTGCGCCTATGCGTAACTTAAATTACCACACTGTTGACAAGTGTCCTTTCTACGATGGCGAAAATGTAGGTTTTCCTCAGAAAATATTTTTCTGTACATGTTTTCACTGACTGGTTGCAATCAATATTCGAGGCTTTTTTCATTGTATAAACCAAACATCTTTCTAATATTAAGACAGGGATCTAACTATCTTCTGTTTGGGTTATGAGTTCTCGTATAATGGCTGGTGTAAGCAGGAAAACTGTTGATATGATTAGTTACAAACCCAACACGCGCTTTATCAGTTTTATTGGAACTCGCACTCTTCCCTCTTAAATCTTCCCCTACTTTATAAGACTTTTCTTTCTGCAAGGCTCTTGTCATTCTACCGTCAGAAATTTGAAATGTTTGCAAAAAATATTGGTTACAAACAATGGGATTACAGACCTCAATATTCAAAATATACTTATCTGTGCAGGTTTTCATTCCTCTACTTCCATTACGCCTTCCATTACTCTCAACTACTATTTTTCGTACTAGGCCACATATATAACAACTGCTATTTTTAGTACTAGACCACATATATAATAATTTTGTCTTTTATAGTCATCCATTGCCCACAACGAGTTGAAGAGAATTTTCCGACTTGCCTCACTAACCTTCTTGTAACATTTTTTATTGCACTCGCAGTCTGCATGTTCAAATATTTTATTTTTACCAGCATTTTTTTCTCTACTTTTATCATTCCTTTTTCACAAAGAAGAATTTTTTGTCTTTTTGACAACATCTCCATTCTTTTCAAATGTAGAAGGTTCTACAGTGGGTAAAACAAATGCAGCATTAACTTTCAAGTTGACCCCGTTATCAACTGGAACATAAAAAGTAATACATAATTTACTAGAAATGATACACCATCACTACTTCTTGATTACAGGAAATACAAGAAAAATGCCTTAAAAAAATGCAGCTGTTAAGGACAATCTAACCGTGTTCTTAAATGACTTACATCACGTTTGCACACAACACTATCAACATTTTATACCTAAGTTCAGTATCTTTATGTTATCTAGTAGGAAGTACTGGAAGTTAGACGTACACCACTTTTAAGGTAACCGTATGAGGTTAAAGCTACCGCATAGTGATGTAAGTACAAATTATACAAAAACATTACTTATACCACTTTTGCTCTCAGCGGCTTAAATATTAGCTTATTTTGGACCAGATAGTAAGTATCAATAAAAATTGTATCCAAAAGATGTCCAGTTAACGTCACTCTAGCCTACTATTAGAATGAAAATATATAAAAAAAATAAAGAGCAGGCTGAGAAAAAATGTATAAGGCAGAAAACGGCAAGGGATATAGAAAGCAGATAAGAACAACTAAAAGAAAAAATACAAAAAGCAGCCGACTCAGTACTAGCAGTGAACAGATAAAAAACAAATAGGACTGGTATGAATCAACAGCAATACACAAATACACGTTCGGATACAACAGACCCGAAATCTGAAATCTATAATAGATTATAGCATTGTAAGACAGAAAACTTCTATTAAAATACAAGATGTGCGAGTAGCCAGAGGGCCATCATGTGGCACCGATCATCATCTGCTAAAAGTTAAAACGGTGCTCCCAAACAGATACGAAAAAGAGCACATCGAGTCAAATCAGTTAATAAAACAAGTACGGTACAACCTAGACAGTTTAAACCATGAGAGTGTAAAGCTACTGTATAAAAAACGATTAGACCAAAAATTAGAAATGGGTAGTTTTGAAAATACCGAAGAACACTACGATCACATTTCATTTCACCCACAAAAGGTCGATTCATTTAGCAGCAGAAGAAGCACTGGGGAAATGTGACGAAAATCATAAAGGAATAAAACTTTACTGGTGGGATGAAGAAATAGAGAAGGAAACGATAAAACAATTTACAAAGAAGCACAAGCCAGAGTAAGAAAAAATATAACTCAAAAAAAGAACGAATCATGGGAACAGAACTGCCAAAAGATCAACACCTACATAGGAGGTAGAAGAAGCACAGAGAGTTGGAGATTGATTAAAAATATGAGAAATAATAAAAAAAGACGTTATATCACCAATAACAACAGAAAAATGGGAAGAATATTTCAAAAAATTACTAACAGAACTAAGACCAGAATTTGCTAACATGGAAGACAACACGATAGGTATACGTATAAATTCATCACCATTACAAATCAGTAAATCAGAGATGGAACAAATAACCGAATCCCTGAAAAATGGAAAATCCCCTGGTCCCCGTGACATCCCTGTAGGATTAGTGAAAGCCGGTACAGACAAACTCCAGAAACAGTTAAGAAAACTCTTTTAAGACTGCTTGAATGGGGCCGAATTACCAAAAGAATGGAAATTATCTATCATGTCAACTATCCACTAAAAGGGCAGCAAGGATCACTGTGAAAATTACAGAGGAATTGCGGTAAACAGCACAATAAGTAGGATGTATGGGAAACTTATTATGAACAAAATAGAAAATGACTATAGAGATTACGAAGCACAAGAGTAAGCTGGTTTTAGAGCTGGGCGATCCACAGTAGACCACCTGTACTCTATTACGCAAGTTATTGAGAAAAAAACAGCCTTCAATAAAGAAGTTCACCTGGTGTACGTAGACTTACAAAAAGCATATGACAGTGTACCCCTAAGTAAACTATGGTCAACCCTACAGCAAACCAACATTAAGCATGGTCTTATCAAAGCAGTCCAAAGTCGGTATAATGGAATGACTGCAAAAATTAAAACTGGATCAAGGATATCTGAAGGATTTAAGGTCACGAAAGGACTAAAGCAGGGTTGCTGTATTTCGCCTACCCTTTTCAAAATTTATCTGGAACAAGCACTCAAGCTATGGAAAAGAAAATGTAATGGCATGGGAATCCCTCTCAATGACGAAACTACACTGTACACCTTATGTTTCGCTGATGACCAAATACTGATTGCCCAGGATCATGACGACTTGAGTTACATGACTCGAAAGCTAATAGAAGAATATAACAAATGGGGTCTCGAAGTCAACATTAAGAAAACTGAAGCCATGTGTATTGGAGGGACAAAACAATCCATTATATTAGACGATGGGGTAGAAATTAGAAACTGTGATGAATACAAGTACTTGGGTATGAAGATAACTCAAGATGGAACACTCGATGCTGCTATAAAAGACAGAAACATACAGGGTAGAAAAGCCATATCCATGATGAACGGCATTCTGTGGGACCAAACAATATCTAAAGCGAACAAACAACTTATATACAACACCATACTTAAAAGTGTAATCACATATGGCAGTGAAGTTTGGCCAATGAAACAAAGAACAGAGAAACTGTTACTAGCAACAGAAATGGACTTCTGGAGAAGAGCAGCAGGCAAATCAAGAAGAGATCGGATACCAAATGAGAGAATACGAGAAATGATGGGAGTCAAGCATACAATAGTTGATGACATAAAAACAAAACAGTTAATATGGTACGGCCATGTACAGAGAATGCCAGATGACAGGATTCCAAAACAGATTTTGACGTGGACACCACAAGGGAGAAGGAAAAGAGGAAGACCAAGAAGAAGCTGGAGAGAGGGAATTGAAAAAGAACTAGAGGAAAGAGAAATCCCTTGAGACCTATGAATGAATAGAGAAGAATGGCGGTTAGGAGTCGGAAGGCGTCGGAGAACGCTGTAAACCGATAGTAGTAGTATGAATCAACAGCATGTTGAAAAAAGACAGACGGCTAAGAAGATATTTACAAGGAAAAAACGTTATTCTTGTAGTAGAAATTTTTAATATTTTTTTCGAGTCTATTGTTATAACCGATTGTACTACAGCCAATTGATAATTGTACATCTTCCATTCGTAACTTTCTGGGTCCAGTTTAAATATTAACGACTACTTAGATAGCCAGAACCGACGGCTTCACGTGTCCTCCGGAAAAGGATGAACGGCTCAATAAAATTATAAATTGAAAATTTTCTGTTGTCTGCCGGGAACGAACCCGGGCCCTCCCGACTTGATAAGACAGTAACTAGCCACTGGGCTAATCGCCACTGAAGTAGAAATAGAGCTAGATTGAAGATTTTAGAAATAAACAAATCAAGAACTTCTACCAAAAATAAAACGAGAACGACCCCAGCACAACACCACACCAAGAAATTATAAGGATGAAGAGGGAAATTAATATTACTTCTCCAGTACCAATTTTTTTTCATTTTCTTGCTGTGTTAATATATAATATTAAAAAAAGTTCATCGATATTTGACTTTTATAATCAACTCCTACCTCTTGTGTATACTCAGTGATCCTGCAGTTCTGAATCCTTTTCCACACATCTCACACACATACGGAATTTCTCCAGTATGTATTCTACTATGTGTTGATAAGGATGCTGCTTGTTTAAAAGATTTACCACAGACAGTGCACATGTGTGGTTTTTCGTTGCTGTGGGTTCCTAAATGGGCTTTCAATGTAGCATACTGGATAAATGTCTTCTTACAGATGAGACATTTGTGTGGACGCTCTCCTAAAATTATTAGGATTATTTTATAAAACATAATATATATATATATATATATATATATATATATATATATATATATATGTATATATATATATATATATAATTACAAGAATTAAAATAATATTGATAACAAATAAGAAAACTGTTTCTACTAATTTTGTTAAAGATGCAACAAAAATAATAAATACCTGTGTGTATCCTCTTATGTATCAGTACATGTTCTGCTCTAGTAAACTTTTTATCACATATATTGCAACTATATGGTTTCTTTTTGGTATGTACTGCTAAATGTTGATTTAGATTTCTTTTAGAGCTTAATATCTTTCCGCATTCAGGACACTTAACACCGGGTTTTATTGTGAAAGTATCCTCTACATCAGACTTGGAATTTTCTCTATCAGAATCTGATGAATCTGAATCTGTTACAAAAGTAAGGTCATCAGTACTGATAGTCTCATCAGGTTCATTGTCTGGTGCTTGTTGGGGATCAGGTACTGATTTGGGATTGTTGTTTATAAGGACTGCTGATACAACTTCAAAGGTTTGGGCGAGAGGTGGCATCACATCATTTTCGATCTATAACATAAATATTTTTAATACAACACATTATTGTTATTGCTTATCTTTGATAAACCCAGGTTAGCTTAATTTACTTTAATAAAGGAAGAGTTAAATGTGATATGATGAGGATGACGAATTATGTTAATCCTACACATATATGCCAACGTTATAAATAATGTAGTACCAGTAGAATAGATGCACTTGCTTACATATTCGCAATCCATATTGAATTGTTACGAGAGCTTTTATTGAAACGCCACTTTTAGACTATAAACAAGTAATGAGTAAGATCCATACCTTTTATATCGTAGATATTTAAAGGTTTTGTTATTTTTATCGATTTTTTAAGATTGTTTTGTAATGGTACATTGCTTTCATTAGTTTATGGGGCCTCTTTTTTTCGGAAGCCGTCTGATATAGACCGGCCATAATGTAGCCAATTGACTTATTGTATATCTTCCATTTATTCATCATACCCATGCCAGAATTTTGGAACCCTATACCTGCGTGTACAGGCCTAATGGATGAGTACAATATGTTTTTGGAGTCATTTAGTAGTTAATATGTCATGTTCTGTAGTTGATTCTGTCAAGAAAACAATATACAACTATAAAAGAATATCATTCAGTATTTTTAGTTATATTTTACAAGTCGTTATACTATATTTGGATTTTAAGTATCAATAGCACTAAACATCTGATAAGTTCTCGATCTAGATCCGAGATCGCACCCGTAAACCTGAATTTTTCTCATAAATTGGTAAATGTGTTAATAAATGAAATTTAAACAGTTTATTAGAAATACCATTCAATGTTTTCATGAGACTGAACGTTATCGTGTTTCATTGAAGCTTTGCAGAAAATGCTTGAAGATGTGTAGAAGTGGACTGGTGGAAGTGTGAGTACAGAATTGTGAAAGAAACCTATGTACATGCAGGACACACTACGCCAAATAGCTGCACAAATGACAATGGCAAAGGATTGTTTAAAAACATTTCAAAAGAAAGTGGGTTGGTAATCGTACATGGTGGTGAGGCGATGGGTTTCATACAGCATGCTCTTTTGGTTTTTTAAGTCAGAAGCTAAGACAGGAGATTATCAAGAGATATGAATTCAGAAAATTATGAAAAATGGATGAAAGAACAGTTAATCCCTAATTTGTCTCTTGGATCTATTGTTACTGATAATGCGTCATATACATAACGTACACAGTGCTGCAATATTGTGGACTCGTTTCTTTAAAACTACCGCCATATCATCTAGACTTGAACCCTATAGAAATGGTTTGGGCGCAAATAAAAAATGAAGTTACAAAACAAAACGTTTATTTTAAGATAGAAGACGTAAAAGTGTTGGTGGAACAGGAATTTGCTAGAGTAACTGTAGATAACTGGAAGAAAGTGTGTGAACATGTTGTCAAGGTTGAAGATAAGTATTCGGAAAGTGAACGTCGCATGGATGTAATTACTGAAGAATTAACCCTCCGTTAGTCGCTATCGGTCTCACACACCGACCGCAGAATTATTCATTCGGGATTTACAAATAACTGTTATTTTTCTATCGCCATTTTTCTGTACCTATCCCTATCAACCAAACTCGTGTTAGTATTCATTCTTACATTCCTGGGTACAATTGTGTGAGTTTTATAGTTATTTTCGGTGCCAAACTCCGTAGCAACTAACGGTGTAGCTATTATTTGTTGCAGAACTTGCAGAACAGCTAAATATTTATCATCTTATTATTGCATTTTATTGGTAAGTTTTTGTCAATTCTTATTTATAGATGTCTTTTGAAGCCGAACAACTTTGATTTCAACGCTTGTTAGAATTATGGACAATGGTTCCTACCGTCGATGAAAATTATTTTGACGATGAGAGAAGTGAAAGCGAAATCGATCAAATTGAGGAACGTGATGGTGGAAATGAATCGGAACAAGATGTAACAGATGAGAAAAAAGATAGTGGGAGTAATACCTTAGCGTTTATTGGAAAATATAGTGTTACTAGATGAAAAAAGGCTATTCCACCGTGAAATACTAGAACAAGACAAGACAATTACATAGTACATAATACAAACTAATGTTTGTATTTTGAGAACGATATCCGAAGTGAAAATTAAAACATCAATAAACTTACTTTAACATTTAATTGTGGCTTATTCTCATTTAAACAGTAATTACTTTAAAATTCCACAAGAAAATTGCTTCAGAACAATATTCACAATATATTGTTATACTACTGTTTTTCAATTTGTATCTGTTTTTTTTTGTCAATAAAATATTTTCAAAAATATTTTTTAGTTATTCCTATACACAATACAAAATATTTGTATGAATTTTATATTAAAAACTATTTTTTTAATTGTCGGTCTCAGACACCGTAGTGTAGACTCTTGATGCTTAGTTTTTCCTAGCGACTAACGGAGGGTTAAGGATTGATTTAAATGATTCTAGTGACGACGACAGTGTATCTGATTATGAAAGTGAATAATATAATTTAACATTACGATGTACCTATGTAACCTATGGTAATATAAGTTTTCCAAACTCTCCTGTATGTATGTATTATTTTTTACTTTATTACAATCATTTCGCATATTCTTCTATTTAACTTTGTGACGTTTAAGTGAGTAATATTATAAATAATAAAGATTTTAAAATTAAAACAATCTTTGTAATTAATATTTATTAATACTGTAATCTGTACTACGTATCTATGGTTTCACAAACAGACAATATATGTATGTGATATATTATAATAATATGTATTAAAATGTAGTACAATATTGCCAAAAATATAATCTTATATCATTGTTTAATAAATTGTGTATCTATCTTTAACAAATTTATTTATAGTATTATTTGGAACGCCCCTGCTTTATTTGGTGAGGTTTTACTGTTCCTAGAAATTTCTGCCACTACAAGTTGAAACATACTCTATAAGGAATGTGAATCAAATAAAATCAAATTAACATCACAGTGTAACTATAGTTACACTGTGATGTTGTTATTCACAGTGTAAGTATTCTATAAGTGTTATAACTCACCTGTTCAATTTCCCCATCAACTATTTTAACTTCTTGTATGGACTGTATTGTAAAAACAGTTGGTTGATTTGCTTCCTCCCTAAATTTATTCTCTAAAGCCCTTTTTAACTTATATTCACTTTCAACTGCAGTTACTTTGAATTTGTGAAATCCCAGGAGAATTTTTAAACACTTTGTACATATATTTTTTGGCAGATCATCTTCTTTATTAACCTTAAATTATCAATAAAAAACAATTACACATTTGTGAGTAGCATAAGTTAATCTCTAGTCCGTATACTATAATTGCTCCACAATTTTTAAAAATATTAAACATCTAGTACAGTGGAATTTTTATTGACTTTGCACTAATATGACATGGAGAAATATTTAGAAGAAATATAATAAAAAAAATAGTCTACGACGGGATAGATTTTGTTTCGATGCTGTACCGCAACAAGAATCTAATACCTTAAAGCAGAACCACACCTTAAAACACGAGATGTAATATTTTGTAAAATTACACAATCTGATTTAATTGCACAATGATGCAGATTAAATATATTGTACAAAACCCAGTTAAAACTTAATTTCAATACAGAACATCACCATTTGCTTATACCTATTTCATCCTTTTGGACTCCCCAGACTTCTTATTCTAACCAATCTAAGATTTAGAAATTCCATTGTAAGCGTTAAGATTTTTCCTGGAGCAGATGTCCCCTCAGACCATAACCTTTCAAAAATGAAAATGAGGGTTTAAGAAAAAGATAATAAAATCCAAAAGTTCTAATGTGAATACTCAGTTACTCAAGACAAATGAATTCAAGATGGATGATTCAAGAAATACTGGAAATCATTGAACAAAGAAGAAAATATAGAAGCAAAAACCAAAATAAGTACAGAGAAAAACATAAATTAATAAGGAACAGAATAAAAGAGGCTAAGGAAAAGTGGGTGATGGAAACATGCATCGAAGTGGAAGAATTGCAGAAAAAGCATGATCATTATAATTTACAAGTGAAAGAATTATCTGGAAAATCACGACCAAATACACCTACCGATTAATTGACAAAAACAATAAATCTATTAATAACCCAATTAAACATACGTCAAGACAACTGTCAAAGTTATTATACTTTTTTAGAACTCTCCTAAAAAAATATTGAATTTTGGTGGTTTTTGAGTAGATATTGTGTTGTAATCAATTTCTTCTTGTAATTATCAAAAATTTAAATTATTATCTTTGAAAAACTTGGTTTGGAATTGTTAAGGACAAAGTATATTTGTCAAATTAGCATTCGAAGTGGATTGATCGTTCACAGTGTGTGATTGGTATTGGTGTATTTAAAGTGTTAAAACTGTACAATGGAAATCAATACAATTGGTAAAGGCCATCCACCCGATCGAGGAAAGACTCTTAATAATTTTAATACTATGGATTTGGATAATGAAGGGAAAAAACACAGCTAAGTGACAATACAAATCAAAGTTTCATGGCTTCACAGGTATTAAAATCACAACCAAACAACTTTTTTCCAGCTTTTCAGGTAAGCGATACCAATAATACTAATGGAAATCAGTCGTTAATTACACATACCAAAAATAAATATACACAAGGAGATCAAGGGCCATATTTTGTTTATTTACAAAATAAAGAAGGAAATATTGGTAAGTTACACAAAATTGCAACAGCACGTTTGATACTAAATGCAGAACCTACAATAAAAGATTAGTTAATATTAGCGTCATTGGTAGAAATAAAGTCAGAATTGAATGTAGCTCGTATAAAAGTGCAAATATCTTAATAGAAAGTAAAAACCTATTAGACAAAAATTATGACCTATATATTCCAAATTTTTTAGTTCAAAACAGTGGTGTAATTAAAGGAGTCGATAAAGGTATATCAGAAAATGAATTAAAAGACATTATTGTTTGTAGATACGGTAATTTTAAGGTATTAAGTGTAAAAAGAATGAAAAGAAAATCAAATGACGAGTTGATAGAGACGGGTACTATAGTGGTGTCTTTCAGAGGACAAATGAGACCAAAACAAGTTGTTCTCATTGAGAGAATGATATATCAGGTAGAACCTTATATACCTAGAGTAATACAGTGTCTCAACTGTATAAGATATGGTCATGTTACGACACAATGTAGAGGAAAAAAAAGATGCGGAAAATGTGGACAAGAACATGAATCTGAAGCATGCGACTTAACAGAGCCTACCTGTATATTTTGTTTTGGAAAACATTCAGCATTAGACCGAGCAAAATGTCCTGAATTTGAGAAACAAAAGGGTATTAAATATCTTATGATAAACGAAAATATGGCATTTGAAGAAGCAAAATTAAAATACAATAATAGCTATACATCAGCTTTAAAAACATCAAGTGTAGGTAATAGATATACAATAACAACTAAAAGAAAATGGAGCGAAGCTACACAAAATAAGTCTGTTTACCCATATTCGGAACAACACGAAAATATCTTAACAAATCCTAGCACCTCTGAGTACCCGCCTCTACCAATTTCTAAGAACATTCCAATGTATCACAAACAAATAACACAAAATTCTCAAATAAACAAAAATCTTAGTGAAAATATATTAACTATATTTAAAAATATTCTAGGTAAAAATTTTTTGCCAACAGAAAATAAACAAATTTTGGAAGAATTTAAAGACAGTCTAGAAAGAATTTTAAATGGATCTAACAAGTAACAAAATCTTACAATGGAACTCACGATCGATAATACACAATAAGGACATTTTGAAAAATATATATTTGAAAATAATTTTTTTAGCTATATTACTGAGTGAAACTTGGTTGAAACCAAATACAAATATAAACTTTTCTCGATATAATATATTTCGCGAAGATGGACCAATGGTTATGGTGGAGTAGCAATATTAATAAAAAAAAAGATTAATTTTTGGAATAACTTAAATTTTTATAAAATAAATAACGTAATGTGTATTGCAGTACAAGTAAATTTAAAAAATAATATTCTAAATTTATACTCGGTATATGCAAAGCCTAAACTAGGTATATCAAAAAATGAATGGGTCAGATTCTTCAATAGTTGTAACAAACCATTTTTAGTGGGGGGAGATTTTAACTGTCATAATAAAATATGGGGATGTGATAAAACTGATCGCGAAGGAATAAATCTTTTTGAAGCCATGGAAGAATGTGGACTTAATTTCTTAAATGATGGTTCTGAGACATTAATTCGGGGTTTCCTGAATAAAAGTAAATCAGCTATAGATCTAACAATTTGCTCAAGAGATATCTATTATACGTGCTATTGGCACACAGAAAATATAAGTCTGGGTTCAGATCACTATCCAGTAGTTATAGAGTGTACACATGATAGTAACGTAAATACCTATAATGATAATAATGATATAATTAGAAATAGAATTAAATGGGATATTAAAAAAGCGGATTGGGCAGTTTTCTCTCATCTCTTAAACAATGATAAAAAAGATAATATAGGAGAAAATATAGAACAAGAATATCAAATATTTTACGATTCTATAAATGAAGCTAGTAAAATTAGCATCCCAGAGAAGAGAAAAATGACCAATCCAAAATTTAATAAACCCTGGTGGAACAATGAATGTAGCGAGGCTATTAAACACCAAAAAGAGGCTTTTATACAATTTAAAAGAATATCTAACCACGAAAATTATTTAAAATATCAGCAAGCGGAAGCTAATAAAAAAAGAATTATTTTAAATAGTAAAAGAGCCTCATGGAAAAATTTATGTAATAGTTTAAGTAAAAATACACCTATTAATAAAATATGGAGTGAGATTAGAAAATTAAAAAATGCCTATAAGCCACCTAATAATCCAATAGTAGAAAATGATTGGACAGAACTATTCTTTAACAAAATTGCCAGACCTTGGGTCATGTAGAAGGAAATTACATATACAACGAACAATGCAGTCACTGAAGACAGTACATTTCTAACAGGAAAATTTAATTTGGAAGAACTTAAAAGCTGTATAAAAAATAATAACAACTCAGCTCCAGGAAAGGACAGTATTCACTATAGTATGCTATACAATTTACCTATTCAAAAGAAAATACAATTTCTGAATATAATAAACAATATATGGGTAAGCATGGAATTTCCAAACTCATGGAAAGAATATATTATATTCCCAATTCTCAAACAACATAAACCTGCAGATTGTCCGAATTCATACAGAGGCATTTCGCTATCGTCATGTATCTTAAAAACATTAGAAAGAATGATTAAACAAAGATTAGAATTTTGGTTGGAAAAAAATTCTCTACTCTCTACAACGCAATTTGGATTCAGGAAATCATGCTCAACAATGGAAAACTTATCACACTTGATACTTGATGTTTATAACTCATTTTCTAATAATAAATCCGTCGTTGCTACATTTGTAGACGTAGAAAATGCCTATGATAATGTTAATTTATTAATACTATATCACCAAATGAAGAAAATAGGAATCCCAGAGATACTGTGCTGGAAAATTTATAAACTATACAGTAATAGAGTTTTATATATTCAAATTGACAACAATTAGTGGGCCCCAGAATAACAAACATTGGATACCCCAAGGAAGTATCCTAAGCCCAATATTATATGCTATTTATACTTCGGATATAGGCAAAAGCATACTAAATCGCAACCAAGGTAAAGTACTACAGTTTGCAGATGACATATGTATTTACGTAGACCAAGAGGAGGTAGAAAATGGTTGCAACATGATAAATGAAGTATACAATTATTTACTTGATGACTTGTATCAGTTAAATTTAACAATATCTGTTAAAAAAACACAAGTTTGTATATTTTCCAGAAAACAAAAACTTCCAAAGATAGTAAAAATGCAAAACTTACAGTTTAATGTTCAACCTAAAGTTAAGTATTTGGGGATGATACTAGATAGAAAAATGAGCTGGAAAGATCATATTGAATACGTTGTGACCAGAGCTGAAAAAGGTTATAATGCATTACGAGCAGTAAGTCACATAACTTGGGGAGCAGATGCTAATATTTCGTTAATAATGTACAGATCATATATAAGATCAATCTTAGACTACGGATGCATATTTTACAACCAAGCAGTTAAAACTCACCTAAAAAAAGTAGAAGTGTTATCAAATAAATGTCTTCGATTATGTATCGGAGCTCTAATAAGCACCCCGACATCTAATTTAAGTATAGAGTGCAATGAACCACCA